CCCCCCCCCCCCCCCCCCCCCCCGGTGTGAGCGAGGTGTGTCCCAACCTGCACCCAGCTGCGCCGCCCGCCCGTGAAGAAGGCCGCCCTGGAGGTGAGGCTCCTGGCAGCTCTCCTCAACCTGATGGGCAGGTACTGGAGTGGCTGCCGGCCCCTGCACAGCGACGAAGTGTTCCTCGCCCAGGCAAGACACGTGTTGCCATCTGTTCAAGAATTTACAACCAATCCAACGCCCAAGTTGCCAGTGGAGAAAACTGGACCCAGAGGGGTTAAAAGACCTATTTAAGGCCACATAGTAACTTAATGGCCAAGCAGGCTCTGGAAGCTGGTCTCCTAATTCCTAATTCAAAACGTTCTGGTTTATCAGAGTTTATCAAATCATTAGCTCGTTTTCTAGTCCTAACTATCCAGTTTCCTCATCCCTCTCTGTCCCATGGAGTTGTTATATCACTTAGGGCAAAGGGCAGCAAACTATAGGCCACCTGCCAAATCCAGCCCACCACCTTTTTGTAAATAAAGCTTTATTGGAACACAGCCAACCACCACCTCCTGCCCACTCCCCCCCCAAATCTACAGCCACTCAGGACTGTTCAACAGTTGTGAATGAAGAAATTCGCTGCCTGACTCTGGAAAAGAAATCTTTGCACAGTCACCTTGCTGAGCTACAGCAGCAGTATAGCCTGATAATGAGTGAGGTGGTATAGGAACTCGCTGACACTGGAAAGAAGATGGATTTCCCGAGGCAGCATCTAGAAAGGCCTCTGGAGGACAGCAGGAGCTGGAAGTCTCTTCTGTTCCGCATGAAGAAAGAAGCGAGAAATGCCGACACTCCAGTTGTTGAACTTGCAGATCACTGGACTTCAAACAAGCGTGAAGAGCCTCTCTGGCAAGATGGTGGAACTAAAGCAGCCTCTGGAGCGCTACAGGATCCGGGAGCTCACCCAGCTGCTGCAGGAGAGCCACACGTTTGCAAGCCAGGCCTGGGCAGCGACTGATGGGTGACACCGTGCCGCAGCCCCACAGACACCCCCAGAGTTCCTGGTGAGTGTGGTTCTGAGTCAGAGCACCTGTGACATCAGCACTACTTGTCCCATCGCACTGACAAGGTGATGCCCTCATCATTCCCTAACAGTAAGTGCAACAATAGATCGCATCTATACATACATTTATTTCCCTTTCCCCAAAAAAACTTAGTGCGAACTAGTAGCGTATTATCCCTTTCAAGTTTGAGTTATGTGTGTTTCCTTTGTTGTTTGGCTTGGTTTGGGGAACAGAGAGAGAGTTAACAAAAGCATCTCCAAGTGCAGGGCGAGCACCTCCCGGGACTGCCTGGGGCCACCACTGGCGGCACTCTCCACGTGGCTGTGGACAAAGGCCACACACCTGAGCCAGGGGATTTCAGAGCGTTCAGTAGTCAATCAGTGCAGGGAAGCTATTCAGGGTCAGAGTTCTAAGGACATTCTAGCCTCGTGGTGACGTCACACTACAGCTGAGTTGTCAACCTGTGCCGTATGGAACAAGTGACGATGGTGTCCCCACCTGGGGGGGCGGGCAGGTTGGGGTGTGCCAGCTTGTGCAGGAACACCGCAGGGAGAAGAGAGCCCACTGCTTCCTCCAGGCAGGACCAGCACCAGCGGCCTTCCCTGTAAAGGACCAGGCGGTGACTGTTAACAGGTTTTGGGGCCATGGTGTCTGTGACCCATCTTCTCCCCACCACCAACGTAGCTGCAAAAGCAGCTACAGACGATGAGAAGGGCACAGTGGGACCATGTGCCATTACAACTTGGTTCATGACACCAGTGACTGAGCAGGCCCAGGGCTTGGGTGTGTGAGCCTCTGTCCACTTGGCACTTAGAGGGACACCTCAGCCTGCCCTGAGCTCTCAGCCACTGGACGTGGGCTTGGAGCAGCACAGACAGGAAGTGATGCTCTTCCTGACTGTAATTTTCTTCTGCCTCAAACCTTAAGACTGAGGATATTCAAGATTTAAAAATACTCCAGTATAAATATAGATCTCTTCTTATAATACTTTAAACTTAAATAATTTGAACTTCAATTTTGGTGAACTGACCACTGCCTAGTTGCTTATCCTATAGCGTTACATACTGGTAGAATAAGTATCGTGCTGTGAAAAAAAATTGTTTAGAAACAATTGGACATAGAAAAAATTTTAAACTGAAACTAGTAATTTAAATGATCATATTTAACATACAGAAACATTACTACAGATTTTGATAGCATTAAATAATCATATCTATTCCAGGACTATATGGAAATACTAACATTTCTACAGCCAGACTCTGCAGGTAAAGGAGAACATAATTCTGAGATATATTTCCACCCAAAAAATGTTTTCTAATATTCAATTCAAAAAGAGGTGCCAACAACTAAGAAGGTGAATGTTTTCACCCTCCTGAACAGATATTGTTATATGAACATCTTATATTATCTACCTGAGAGACTAGCATGTCCAGAGTAAATGATTCATTTTACTTAGAGTACATCAGGATTAAAATGTTTACACTGAACACCTGGAATATTTACTAAAATTAATCTTATTAAGGTAAAACTTAAAAAATTACTCTGGAACATTTTCACTTCTTACACTCAACAAACAGATGAAAGCAGTCACAGAATCATGTTAAATTTATAATAATTCACATATAATGTAGATTAAATTATCAAAGAAAAGATTCAGCTGACATCTTCAAAGATTTTAGCAGGTTTAACAAATTTCTATTCTGCCACATACTGATAGCAGTAGGCATATTTCTTGACATCATTCAATCTATTTTAAAAAATTAATTGATTAGAGACATAATTTGTAAAGCAAGGTAACCAAATTACAGAGTTCTAATATTGGCTTTGCAGAATTTCTTAAGAAAAGATACACAAGGATTGCTCAGCTACCTGTGAATAATTAAATCTCCTTTTCTTTTTTTTTTTTTTTCTTTGCGGTACACGGGCCTCTCACTGCTGTGGCCTCTCGCGTTGAGGAGCACAGGCTCCGGACGCGCAGGCTCAGCGGCCATGGCTCACGGGCCCAGCCGCTCCGCGGCATGTGGGATCGTCCCGGACCGGGGCACGAACCCGTGTCCTCTGCATCGGCAGGCGGACCCTCAACCACTGCGCCACCAGGGAAGCCCGCCAACACTTATTCTTATCTGTCTTTTTGATTATAACCATGCTAGTGAGTGTGAAATAGTATCTCTGTCATTTTGATTTGCTTTTCCCTGACGGCTAATGATATTGAACATCTTTTCGTGTGATTATTGGTCATTTGTATTTCATCTTTGGAGAAATGTATATTCATATTCTTTGCCCTTTTTAAAGTTGGGTTGTTTGTCCTTTTATTATTGAATTGCTATCTCATCCACTTTTATGGATTCATTTACATTTTTATTCTTAAAATTCTGAAAATATATGTTTTGAGTCTGGATTTCTTGTCTTCCCTAGACCCACCACAAATGCAATATGATCTCCAAATCTGCTCATCTTTCTGAGCTCTTATTTCATTGAAAGTTCTCACTATCCATTCGGAAACCTGGGTGTTATTCTTTTCATCTCCCTTTCCCTCTAAATCCAAATAACTACTATTGTTTTTTTATCTCCTAAAAAACTTCTAGAATTTTTATTTCTATGCCAGCTTTGTCTAGATCACCATCAAAAAATTTTCCCTGAGTACCTGTAACAGCCTCTTAGCTGATTTTTTTAAAAGCTCTATTTCATTCTTTGTACTTCAGTGCATATTTTAAAACATAAATCCTTCTAGTAGTTTACTTTCACTCTTAGGATAAAATTCAAATTCCTTAACATGGATTCTATAAAGGGCATAATTTCCTAATAACTAGAGCTATCAACAATGTATTGGATCAACTTAAAATGTATAAAGTTCCTTGTCACTGGAAACATCTAGATAGAGGGTGAAAACTGATCATGTCTTAAGGGTGATGTGAACAGTATTCATGCTTTGAATAGAAAGTAAAAATCAATGTCTACTAAAACTCCTTACCATTATAAGATGCTA